CCAGGAAGCCAACATATGGCCAACATCTAACAACATCGATGATTTGGGCATTCTCGCCGAGGCCTCTTGGAGCGCCTTGGGTGCCTCTGGGGGGCCTCATGGGGCCTATTGGGGGTATCTTGGTAGCCTCTTGGGGGCATCCTGGGTGCCTCTGGGATGCCTCTTGGGGCCCCTTGGGGGTCTCTTGGGAGCCTCTTGGGGGCATCCTGGGGGCCTCTTGGGGGCCTCTTGGGGCCTCCTAGGCACATCGTGGGGCCTCTTTGGGCACCCTTGGGAGCCTTGGGGGCGTTCTTGGGGCCATCTGGGAGGAGATCGATCGAAGAAGTGGGGTTCCTCAATTAGGGGCCCCCATCCAGGAAGCCAAAATGGGGCCAAAACCATAGTAACACCAGTGCTTTGGGTTTCCTCGCCGAACCCCCCGTCAAGGTCCACGGGAAGGGGTAGGGTGAGGGGTCAAGTTGCCCCCTCCCCGCCCGCAAGCCGTCCCGTTCACTCCCACCCGCCCTCCCAACACAAACGTAACACCCGAGTCTGGCCCGAGCCTCAGCATATTCAGCAGCCGTCTTGGGATGGGCAGCTACTGGGGGCCAATCCGCCGCCGCCGCCGCCTCCGCCGCCGCCGCCGCCGCCGCCGCTGCCCGCCGCCGCCGCCCCCGCCGCGCCGCGCCGCCGCCGCCGCCGCCGCCGCCGCCGCCGCCGCCGCCGCCGCCGCCGCCGCCCCTGCCGCCGCCGCCGCCGCCGCCGCCGCCGCGCCGCCGCCGCCGCCGCCCCCCGCTGCCAAACCGCCGCCGCAGCCGCAGCCGCTGCCGCCACCGCCGCCGCCGCCGCCGCGCCGCCGCCGCCGCCGCCGCCCCGCCGCCGCCGCGCCGCCGCAGGCGCCGCCGCAGCCGCCGCAGCCGCCGCCGCCGCCAATTGTACTCTGTATTGTGTTTTGACAGGGATGGTGTGTGTGGGGGGGGGGGGGGCGCATCGGGTTGGCCGCGCATATTCCGAATTTGGAGGCAGAGTGTGTGTTTGTATTGTTTTTGTACAAGGGATGGTGGGGGGGTGTTGGCATGGACTGGGGTTGGCCCCCAGTCGCCTGGGGGAGGGGGTGTTTATTAATAGGGAACAGTGATCAAGACGCCCTCCCCGCCGGCAAGCCGTCTCGTTCACTCCCACCCGCCCCTCTCACACACACACACACACACACACACACACACACACACACACACACACACACACACACACACACACACACACACACACACACACACACACACACACACACACACACACACGTAGCACCCGAGCCTGGCCCAAGCCTCAGCATATTCAGCAGTCGTCTGTGGACGGGCACCGACTGGGGGCCAATCCGCCGCCGCCGCCACCGCGCCGCCGCCGCCGCCGCTGTCCGCCGCCGTCGCCGCCGCGCCGCCCGCCGCCGCCGCCGCCGCCGCCCCCCCCTGCCGAATCGCCGCCGCCGCCGCCACCGCTGCCGCCGCCGCTGCCGCCGCCGCCGCCGCCGCCTCCCTCGCCGCCGCCGCCGCCGCCGCCGCCACCGCCGCAGCCGCCGCAACCGCTACCCCCGCCGCAGCCGCCGCAGCCGCCGCAGCCGCCGCCGCCAAGTGTACTCTGCATTTTTGTTTGACAGGGATGGTGGGGGGAGGCCGCACCGGGTTCGCTGCGCATGCTCCGATTTTGGAAGCAGAATGTGTTTCGCATTGTTTTTTTTTAGGGGTTGGTGGGGGGCCCTCATTGTCCCTGGTTGGCTCCCAGTCGCCTGGGGGAGGGGGTGTACATTAGTAGGGAACAATGATAAACCCCTCCCCGAAGGGGAAGAAGAGGGTTGGAAGAGGAAACTCCCTAGACCACCTACGCCCTTAAGGGCTGGTTTGATTAAAAGTACACACCAGGCTCCCATGATTTGCTACCGAAGGAGCGCGTTTTAAACATATAAAAAACAAAACAACAAACATTGGCGGTTATAGGCGTTATAGAGGGTGGGGGGGCCGGGGGGGTATAATGTAACGCCCCCCCCCGCCGTGTGGCTCCGGCACGGCAGCTGCGCCCGCGCGCACGACGACGATGAGCGACGAGCGACGAGCGACGACGACGACGCGAGCAGCATGTAGGTGGCGACCTGCCCACAGCGCCTGTGTACACCACAATGCTTGCGGGCACCACAGCGCGCGTGTACACCACAGTGCGTGCGTACACCACAACAGCCGCGTGCGACGCAGCGCCTGTGTACACCACAGTGCTTGCGTGCACCACAGCGCCGGTGTACACCACAGCGAAGTTGTACCACCGCAGCAACCATGTGCAACACAGCGCCTGTGTACACCACAATGCTTGCGTGCGCCGCAGCGCATGTGCACACCACAGCGCCTGTCTACACCACAGCATCCGTGTGCACGCAGCGCTGACCACAGCGCCTGCGTGCACAAGACAAGTAGAACGAGCATGTTGGTGATGATCTGCGGACAGCTAAACGCAACGCCAGAGAAGTGCTGATAATAGAATGCGACGTTCGTCCATCCTCCCTCCTCCGCCACCTCCACCTCCACCTCCGTCTTCTCCTCCTCCTCCTCCTCCTCCTCCTCCTCCTCCTCCCAATGCGGATCCCCATGAGATTCCTAATGCAGCCCAGGCTCCTATGCGGACTTCTATGCAAACGCCGATGGAGATCCGGATGCGCACGGCGGCAGTGCCCGGAGCACACCAGGCGGGCAGGGGCGTTACGTCATAGGGTAGGGGGGCGGGCTGGGGGCTGTAATGCCCATGATGCCCGAGCAATGAAGAAGACACACGCTCCAAGAGCGTCCGCAGAAAGATGATCTCGTGCGCGCGGCGGCCGCACCCCCCTGTGCATTCTCGGAGAGGGGCCTCGCACAGAGGACCCCCACGAGCCCAGGAGGAGGAGGAGGAGGAGGAGGAGGAGGAGGAGGAGGAGGAGGAGGAGGAGGAGGGAGGAGGAGGGAGGAGGAGGAGGAGGAGGAGGAGGGAAGGATGGAGGAGGAGGAGGAGGAGGAGGAGGGGTTCAAGGCAGGGCCGTCCACCCCGAGATGGAAAGGGGGCCGAGACGGACGGGCGAGCACGCAGTGCCGAGGCCGCCAGCGCAGCGCAGGAGAGCGGGGAGGAGGAGGAGGAGGAGGAGGAGGAGGAGGAGGAGGAGGAGGAGAGGAGGAGGAGGGGAAGGAGGAGGAAGAGGAGGAGGAGGAGGAGGAGGAGGAGGAGGAGGAGGTGGAGGAGGAGGAGGAGGGGAAGGGGGAGGAGGAGGAGGAGGAGGAGGAGGAGGAGGAGGAGGAGGAGGAGGAGGGGAGGAGGAGGAGGAGGAGGAGGAGGAGGAGGAGGAGGAGGAGGAGGAGGAGGAGGAGGAGGAGGAGGAGGAGGAGGAGGAGGAGGAGGAGGAGGAGGAGGGAGGAGGAGGAGGAGGAGGAGGAGGAGGGAGGAGGAGGAGGAGGAGGAGGAGGAGGAGGAGGAGGAGGAGGAGGAGGAGGAGGAGGAGGAGGAGGAGGAGGAGGAGGAGGAGGAGGAGGAGGAGGAGGAGGAGGAGGAGGAGGAGGAGGAGGAGGAGGAGGAGGGGAGGAGGAGGAGGAGGAGGAGGAGGAGGAGGAGGAGGGGGAGGGAGGAGGGAGGAGGAGGAGGAGGAGGAGGAGGAGGAGGAGGAGGAGGAGGACGAGGAGGAGAGGAGCAGAAGGGAGCAGGAGGGAGGACGCGAACGGCGTTGCAAACACAACGAACAACGTGGAGCCCGACTTGTAGGGTGCAGGTGGTGGGAAACTCTGATAGCAGACCGCTCCTGACACCCCAAAGGCGGTGGGAGCCGCCGCGAGGAATGGGGGTCAGCGCCAGTGAAAAAGAAACACTGGAATCTTACATGCAATGCAAAGCCGTGATTGATGGGAGGGCGGCTTGGTCGGGCCCGCGAGAGCCCCAAGACGGGCCAAGAGGGTCCCGAGATGCCTCCAAAGCGGTCCAAAAAGGCCCCGAATCGCCAATCAATCGGAACAAGCCGCGCAAGATGGCCTCTGGTCGGCGGGAAAAACGCAGAGGCCTCCGAAGAAGCCTCCCAAGAGGGCCCCAAGAGGCAACAATCATTGATGCTCCTTCGGCTGTGGAAGGATTTTGGCGCTCTCGCCTTTTCGGCGCCCCGATGCTCCAAGACGGCTTCAGAGGCCCCCCAAGATCACCCCAAGACGGCCCAAGAGGCCTCCAAGAGGGCCCCAAGACCGCCTTAGAGGGCCCCGAGACGGCCCAAGAGGCCTCCGAGACAGCCGACGAGGCTCCCAAGACGGCTCCAGCAGGGGGCCCAGACGGGGGACCCGAACGGGACACTGCGAGCCCTCGGCGGCCCCCAAAACTGCCCCCGAGAGGCCCCCGAGAGCGCCCCGAAGGGACCCCGAGGAGCACCCGTGAGGACTCCGTGACACTCCGACCGACAGCCGTGAGGACGCCGGCCCGACGCCGTGGCGGGATGGGCCGAAGGCCATTCACTAGATATATCTCGCTGTGGTAGAGGAGGGGCCGGCAGCGGAGGGCGAGGCCTTTACGGATGAAGAGCTGCACCGTGGACCTGGGCAACTACAGTGGGGATCCGGCCACAAGAAACCTCTGCAAGAAACCCAGCCCTGAAATCCGCGATTTGTTCCGTGAAAATCCGAAAACTTGTCCATCGAAAATCGTCCAGTTTTTATTGGGGGCCCATCGAAGTCCAAGAAACCCAGGGCACCCTGGCAGAATCCAGCTGGTTTCTTGGCACGCGCCCCCACTGTACAACCAATTGCTAGCAAGGCTCGCTCCCCCCAAATAAAATTGACCACGATTAATAATAATATAAAAAACTCCCAAATAGCCGTATCGGGAACACGGGCGACCAGGTTAAACACACTACATACAACTAAAGACACGGCTATCCAGTACTAGCACCACGGGGCAACCTCAGATAACGTTCAAACCATAGCAGCAAGAAACATCAACACAAGACCATCATTTACATAGAACAACAATTCAACACAGGCCGGGCCACTTAGTCGAGTACAGCTGCCAGTTTAGTGGATCGGTGCTTCAACGTGCGGGCAACTCAGAAGCGACGAGTAAGCCGCCAAGGGACGCTGTGAACCACTAAGAAGCCACTAGGAAATGCTAAGAAACGAGAAAGCGAGCACAGGGAATTACGAAAGGCATCCACGACTGCATACTTAACCTGCGGGCCCGCACCAGAGGGCACTTCGGCTGAGGGTCATTCTTATGCGCATCCGATCGCCGATGTCGTCTTCGTTTTCGCCAGCTGGCGTCCCTCAGCCGAGCTCCTTGAGGCGGTCCCTTTCCGGCTCGGCCTTGGCCTGGGCCGACTTCAGCTTCGCGTTCTCGTCGCCCACCTCCGAGGCGGGCTCGGGCGTGGACCGAGGGAACTCTGGGAACGCCGTAGGGATCGAAGGGGATACTTTTTTGTTCTGCGGCCCGCAAGGACAAGTCCAGAGGGCGTGTCAATCAGGCAAACTGGGGCACAGAGCCAGATAATTCGTGCACATGCAGAACAAATTGGGGAAAACGAGCAGAAGACAGACGCAGGGGATACGCGGCACCGCGCACCTATCTCGCAGGGGCGGACGACGGGGGGGGGGAACGCAGAGAGGGGGCCGCGCTGCGGCGCCTCCCAGCGCCGAGGGCGGCCGGGTGTCGCCGAGAGGGCACGGCGGCGGGGCCGCAGCCGGCTGCACGCAGCAAGGTATCGTGCTCCTCCCGCTGCCCCAGTCCTCCCCCCTCGTCCGACCCGGCTCCTGCAGCCAGCATGCACGTCAGCCCCTCACGTGCCGTTCGAAGCGGACTGGCAGGAGCATGAAAAGACACGATGTAGGAAGGCGGCGGCCAAATGTAGATAGGGTGTGGGCCCAGCCTCCACGACAGGAAAGCAACATGAAGCCGCTGCGATTGCTGAAGTCGGAAGGCACGTCAGGCAGATCGGGGGCCGGGAATTTCAGGAGAGCCTGCGCGATCTGCTGGAACGCCGTGCAGCCGGCGTGTCGTTCGCCCGCCGATGTTTCGCGGCGCGCAGGCGCTTATAGGATCTGAGGGTCCTCAGGTTTCCTGGGGGGGGGGAGAGAGAGAGAGAGAGAGAGAGAGAGAGAGGAGAGAAAAAGCAGATGGCCCGGGCAGGGGAGCTGAGGGCGAGGGGGGAGGGGAGAGGAGGAGGAGGCGAGGAGAGGGAGGAGGAGAGGGGAGGAGGAGGAGGAGGAGGAGGAGGAGGAGGAGGAGAAGGAGGAGGAGGAGGAGGAGGAGGAGCAGGAGGAGGAGGAGGAGGAGGAGGAGGAGGGGAGTCGGGGGATGAGGATATAGGGAGAAACCGCATAAACATCGACGGCCCGCGCGGACCTCTCGTGGATCCGCGCTGGAGTCGCTTGCCCAGTGCGCGGAGCGGGCTGGGGGAGCGGCGCCAGGGGGCGCCAGAGGGGCGCCGGCAGGGGGCCCCCACGCAGATCCGAGAAATCCGCGCGGGCCGCCGGAAGGTTTACGCTTACTCCACATCCCGTATTTCGGGTCGGGGGGGGGGGGATAGCAAAGGGGGGGTTTGAGAATCAGCTCACGTAGCTGATTTTCCCGGCGCCTCCCGGCGCCGGGAGGCGCCCATGTATCGAGGAATGGGCCCCTGGGTGGGGCCGAAACCAGCTGCATGCAGCAAATTTCGTAACCCCCCCTTTCCCAATCCCCCCCTTTCGCCCGACCCGAGAATTACAGGGCCCCCGGGGCCCGTATATGAAGGCGCCTTTTTCAAAAGGAGGGGACGGAATATTCAGGCGGTTTCGCGTGACCGAAGCGAAAGGGGGGCCGGAGAATTGAGGCGCTTTTTGAATGGCAATTTTGGGCAAGAGGTTTGAAACTTACCTTCAGGATGGCCCCAAATGAGATCAAACGATGCTTCAAGACCGCACGCGACGGCGATCATGATGACGGTGGTGATCGCAATTGTGAACGTGACGGTGATGATCATGATGGTTTTGGTGACAGCGGTGATGGTCATAATGGTGGTGGTAACAACGATGGCGATGATGAGTGTGTGTTCCATCAAATGTGCCCCTCGTCTTGTCCACATCTTAACGCACCTTAACCGCATCCCCATCATGTCCACCAGCATAACTACAACACTCAACTTTCCCAGAGGGGGGGGGCCGGAATATTAAGGCGCCTCCCGTGGAGGGGGGGCCGGAGTATTAGTGTGCCGAATTAGGGGGGCCGGTATTTTAGGGGGTGGGGCGTTTAATGAGGCGCGTGGAGTATGCATCCCGAGACATGCTCTGACGGTCCCGAGGCCCGGTCCGGGCCCCCCGAGGCCGAAGAGGGCAAAACCCGTCGTGGTGGATTCGTGGCTCGAGGGGCTCCGGGGAGGAGGGACGGGGCGGGGCGAGGGGAGGAGGAGGAGGAGGAGGAGGAGGAGGAGGAGGAGGAGGAGGAGGAGGAGGAGGAGGAGGAGGAGGAGGAGGAGGAGGAGGAGGAGGAGGAGGAGGAGGAGGAGGAGGCGGCCCTCGTGAGCGAGCGCCTGCGCCCCTCGGCTGTCCGCCTCCCGCTTGGCCCTGTCCAGCTCCTGGGCCGCCGTCGCCGTCGTCGGCGGCCTCGCCGTCGCCGTCGCCGTCCCTCCTCGTCGTCGTCGTCCTCCTCCTCCCCGTCGTGGCAGTCATCCTCGTCGTCGACCCCGACCTCATGGTCGTCCTCGTCCTCGCCTCCCTCGTCGCCGACGCCGCTCCCCAGACACGGGATCGCTGCTCTTTCTTTTTCTCTTCGGCGGGCCGTGGAGGAAAAGAGAACTGGCGACACCGACTGGAGTCTTCCGTGAGGTCCTCCTGCAGCGCCACGATCCGGGCGTTCTGGAAGCGGATGGTGGCCAGGAGGTGATCGGATCCAGACCCGCCCGCCTCTGCTGCCGCCTCGGAAGACCAAGCGGGATCGTGAACCGCCGGCCAGGGCTGAGGGTGGAGAAGGCCTCCGCCTCCCTCTCCCTCCTCCCCTCCCTCTCCCTCCCCCTCTCCCTCCCCTCTCCCTCCCCCCCTCCTTTCTCCCTCCCCCCACTCCTATCCCTCCCCCCTCCCTCCCCCCTCCTCTCCTTCCCTTCTCCCTCCCCTATCCCTCCCCTCTCCCTCTCCTCTCTCCTTCCTTGCTCCCTCCCCCCCCACCTGTACAACTACGCGATATAACTACTCTGGTCTCTCCCCTGAATCTGTCTGGCGAGTGTTCCGTCCTCTCCGCGTATGCTTTCTTACGCAGAAGACTTCATCACTTGGTCTTCCGAATATCGTTTTTTCAATCCGGTCGTTTCTGGTTCTTCCAAAATGGTGCCCCCGCTGCAGCGCCGCCCTCATGTCCGCGCTTCGGTCAATCAAAATCGTTCTCCCGCTGCAGCGCTGGCCTCGTTCCGGCGCCTCCGAACGGCGCATGGCACTCGAAAGCGCCCACATCGGGCAGGCACGGTTGAGGAGGGCATGGAGCCGGCATTGCGGACAGGCCCTGTTCACTCGAAGGCGGGCCATTTACCCTCCAAGTCATCCGGTGCCATGACACGGCATGCATTGTGATGCTGTGTTGTGCACCGATGTGCGATGCCATGCTTTGCGTTGCTATGTTTTGTGATGCAATGCTTCACTACGCAATGCCACGCCAATGACGTGCTATGCTCTGCCGTGCTCTTCTACGCCATGCGTTTCCATCCATCGCGTGCCCTCTTGGGATCATTGCCCTACTCGAAAACCAACTGTGCGAATAGATAAGAGATCTACGCCATGGTGAGGAAGGGAGGGAGGGGTAGGACGTAAGATGTGACGCTAGCGCACCTGGCTTGCCCTCCCCGCCTCCTGCCTCCGCCCCCTTCCCGTGCGTCTGCCGCCTCTGTCTGCTCCGCTCCCCTCTTCGGTGGCAACTCATGGGAGTCTCCCATACCATCGTGTCGGCTCTTGCGAGTCGACGCTAGTCGACGCCAAGTCGACGCTAACCGACGCTGGCCGACGCGAAATCGGCGCCAAAGACGGAACTGCGAGGACACACTGCAAGGCTCCCATGATTTGCCACCGAACCCTTCCCTGCTGCCTCCTCCGATCCCGAGGTGCTGTCAACTCCTCGGCACTGCCCGCCGAGGAAGGTCCCAGGGAGGCCCCTGGCGACGGGCCGCCAGCCGCCAGCCGACGGGCCTCGTGGCGCGCCGACGGACGGGCCGGATGCTCCACCCACGGGTGCCTGAGGACCTGTGCCAACCTGGTGCTGGATGCGCGCGGAGGCTGGAAACGCAAAAGACCAAGACCTCTTCGCGATGCGCAAAAAAAAACACGACGGGAAGTTTTTTCTCAATCTTCGGCTTCCGGCGGCCCTTCCTAAGCCTCGGGACCGTCAGATTATCCCGGCAAAGCAACCTAACAGCGATGTGTAGGAGCATATCTGGAAGCATTCCCCTTAAGATTCAGATGAGAATCCAGTTGTAGAATTCTGTTGTTCTCGCAGTCGTAGTCGCATTCGCGATGACAGTCGCAGTGGCAACGGCAGTCGCAGTCACAGCCTCAGCCTCAGCCTGCCTCAGCCTCAGCCTCAGCCTGCCTCAGCCTCAGCCTGCCTCAGCCTCAGCCTCGGCCTGCTTCAGCCTCAGCCTCAGTCTGCCTTCAGCCTCGGCCTCAGCCTCAGCCTGCCTCAGCCTCAGCCTGCATCAGCCTCAGCCTCAGCCTCAGCCTGCCTCAGCATCAGCCTGCCTCAGCCTCAGCCTCAGCCTGCCTCAGCCTCAGCCTCAGTCTGCTTCAGCCTCAGCCTCAGTCTGCCTTCAGCCTCGGCCTCAGCCTCAGCCTGCCTCAGCCTCAGCCTGCCTCGGCCGCAGCATCAGCCTGCCTCAGCATTCAAAATGTGGCCCAGGAATGGAGTTCTGGGAACTAGAAGAACACGAAGTGGCCTACAGTTGGCTCCGGGCATTCAAAATCATGCCCAGGAATGGAGTTCTGGGAACTCGAAGAGCACGAAGTGGCCTACAGTTGGCTCCGGGCATTCAAAATGTGGCCCGGGAATGGAGTTCTGGGAACTCGAAGAGCACGAAGTGGCCTACAGTTGGCTCCGGGCATCCAAAATGTGGCCCGGGAATGGAGTTCTGGGAACTCGAAGAGCACGAAGTGGCCTACAGTTGGCTCCGGGCATCCAAAATGCGGCCCGGGAATGGAGTTCTGGGAGGTCGAAGAGCACGAAGTGTGTGACTGTTGGCTCCGGTTATTCAAAATGTGGCCCGGGAATGGAGTTCTGGGAGGTCGAAGAGCACGAAGTGTGTGACTGTTGGCTTAAAACGAGCCCGGCTCTGTTCCCGGCCCTCCTCCCCGGCACCCGCCCAGACCCCCCTGTGGAGTCCAGATGCTCTCTTTTGACCCCACTAGAAACCTATCAGCAAAAGCTGTTAGGTAAAAACGACTCCGGATGAAAAACGGGTCCCCGGGAAGGGTCCCAGACCTCTGAAAATCGACGTTGTGAACGACTCACGACGTCAGGGGTCTGGGGACACTCCCGATCTGCCCCGCGATCTCAGTGATATCCGGGCCCGCTCCTCCCTTGGGCCCTTCGCACTCGCTCCTCCCCCGCTCTCGCTGGCCCTGTGCTCGGTGCTGGTCGTGTGCCTCCGGGCCGTCCTGGTCCTGTTGCGCGATGGTCGCTGCCTGCCTCGCGGCACCACGCCGTCGCTTGCGACTGGGCCTGCCTGGCCCTGGTGCTGGCAGCGGATGCAGCGTCTCGGTCCTGGTCTCGCCTACGCTGTGCGCGCTGATTACGGCCATCTGGGGCCGGGTCTCCCTGGACCCGGACCTGGCAGTGTTCGCGCCCCCCCTGCATGTCCCATTCTCACGGTGCTTCGGCTTTTTGCCGCCCTGGTGCTCAGTCGCTGATCGCGTCTCCCCTGGCCATGTGCTTGGGGCCCCTGCTGGTCACCTGGACTGAGTGCTCAGCACAGTGGACCTAGAGTTGCGTGTGTGTGTTTCGCATGCCTCATGTCCTATTCCCCGCTGATCTGGCCTTTTGCCGCCCTGGCGCTCAATTGCTGGTCGCCTCTCCCGCGCCTGCGTACGGGGGGCCCCCGATCACCTGGACTGTGCTCTCGAAGCGGTGGCTGCCTGGGGGGTGGGCCTCTGTGGACCTGGGGGCGTGAAGTTCGCGCGCTTCACGTCCCACTCCCACGCTGTTCCGGCTTTTTGCAGCGCTGGTGCTCACGTGCTGGCTATAGTCCCGCTCCTTCCTGGCCCTTCGCCGGGGTCGTCTGGTCGCGGACTGTGCTCTCTGCGCGGTGGCGCTCTCCGGCGCCCTCTCCCCGCTCTCTTCCCCCCCCCTTTCGGGATCATTGCCCTGCTCGACATCCGACTGTGCGAGTAGAGAGGGGATCTGCGCCATGGTAAGGGATGGGAGGCAGGGGTAGGATGTCAGACATGACGCGAGCGCACCTAGCTTGTCCCCCCCCCCTCTCCCCCCCCCCCCGCCGCATTGGTAACGGCGGCCCCGCCAGTCTCCTGGCCGCAGCCTCTGTGCTGCCTGCGCGGCGCGGCTGAGCCTGGCGCCGGGCTCACGACGGAGCTCTTCGAAAAGCTCGTCGGCACCTGCCCGGCCCCCTCCTGGTCACAGGTCATGTTGCCCTCGCTCCATTGCTTTCGCACGACACTCGTGCCTGTTCGGAACACCAGATTCTCCCGACCCTGGTCGTCGCTGCTTTAGGCGCCCTGGCGTTCTGACCTTTTGCCTCGGGCTCTGGTCTTTGCCTCGACTTTCGTGACGACGTGCGCGGAGGTCTTACCTGGCCTTGCTCCCTCGATCACCCTGGTGCCGGGCTGCCCCACGACCTCGTGCGGCTTCGCCCCCTGCAGTACGCCACGCACTGCTCGGACTTGCTCCTCGGCACAAGCACGGCGGCCTGCTGTGCCCCGGCGCGTCCCGCCGCGCTACTTGACCGCCGCTGGGAGCCCTCACAGCCGCCGACCAAGACAGTGTCGGCCCCGTCCCTCCAGACGAGGGTCGGGGGGGGGGGAGGACGCGCATCCTCAGCCGCAGCCGCAACCGCACCCGCACCCGCAACAGGGCGACGCGCGCGGGGCCGCGGGCCGGCAGAGCCTGCAGCAACACCCGCACACGCTCCCTCGAGTGTGCAGCGGAGCCCGCCAGCGGGCGCGTGCACCCGCTCTCTGGTCCCCCTTGGGATATAGTTGGTACCGTCCGTGAGCCGTCGGAGGCCAGCGCAGACGTCCTAGCACCGCTCCCTCCTGTCCAGACGCGGTATCCGCAGTTGCCCTCCTCCTCCCTCCATGGGGCCCGTGGGCGTGGTCCGCGGTGCCCCGCGCGGACGCCGCAACGGGGAAGCAAGAAGGCCGACGTCGTGATCTTACAACATGGGCCCTCGGAGATCTAGATCGCCCTCCCTGGGACCGGGTTGCCATCCCGACTTCGGCTTGACTTTTCTTACGGTCCCTGAAGCTCGGTTTTGGGGTCACGACTCGGGCCCCTGGCAGCCGTTCGGGAAGATTCGGGAACCACCGGACGCGGCGCGAGGCGCATAGCTGCTGAGAAGTACCCGGAGGGCGGTAAACCGCCAGAAAATCTTGAGAACGCCCCAAAGCTTCGAACCTCTCCAGACAGCAGGCGTCTCTCGATGTTTTCGAGACACGTCCCCGTCCTCTCGAGCACTGCCCAGGGACCGGTCGTCCCTCCCGAGTCGCTGATGGACGGCCCCGCGGCCCGCCCGGTGAGGGCCCCGAGAGGCAGATAACTATGAAGCACCCCCGTCTCGGTGTCTTCGAGACGCCAGGATGCCTGGGTTTCACCAGTCTGGAACAAATCCCTATCCCTATGCTGGGCATCTCCTCGTCACGATGCCAGTCTTAGGGATTCCCTTATCTTTTGAGGGCGCATCCCTAAGATTGTCATCGCCTTTGGGCGTGTCAATCTTGGGGATAGGGATAAGTTCGAGGCTGGTAAGGGTTCGAGCCTCGACCTTCGAACCAGGGCGTTTGGGTCCAGCGGCCGCGAGGTCGGGCTGCGGCCGGGACACAGCGGCCCCTCTGACGGCCAGCGGCCCCCCGAGCCGCCGGCCGGCGGGGCCCCTCTGGCCACTGGCCGCGGCATCTGGCGGGGCGGCGGCCGCGGTCGGGACCGATCGGGCTGCGGTCGGGAACACTGCTGCGCAGCGTGTCGCGGCGGCGGCCCCCGCGGCACGCTCCGGCGGATATAGCGTGTCGCTCCGCTCCGCGGGAGAGGGATGCTGGGAATGGCTGGGAGTAGGGGGATAGCCGGGGACCTTCCTGCTCCTCCTCCTTCTCTTCCTCCTCCTGCTCCTCCTCCTCGTCTGTCGCCGCTTGAGCAAGATGTGGGGACGCGGATGGCGTGGTCGCGCCGACGCGTGGTGGGCCAGATATGGGCGTAGCCGGGCGACACGCCAGGCCAACGTTCGCGACCGTCTCTTGGCAGCAAGTTGTCCTGGAGGACACGGCATGCCAACGGCTGCGTCGGTGTCCTGGAGGCCCTCTATGGCCGTTGGGTGTGCTCTCCAGCAGCTGCGCCTCGCCGCGAGGGCCTTCGCCGGGGGTGCCCGGCATTCGTCCCTAATAGCGGCCGCCATGAGGGCCCGAGCTGTGGCCCAGAAGCCACCACGGCCCAGGCCCCTCCTGGAAGGAGGCGGGGCTCTGAGGGGGACGGATCCTGCACGTGTTTCTCGGGTGCGGGGCGTCCAAAGGGGGGAGCGCAAATCATGGCCGCCGGCATGTGCGCGGCCCAGGGGGAGGGGCCAGGGACGTAATGAAAGAAGAAGAGGCGCCATGAAATCTGAGGAAAGATCATGGCCCACGCCATGATATCCACCCCCCTTTAGTCATCATCCCCCTCTTGACCGCCCCCAAGTTTCACCCTTTTCGGGCTCCCGCCACGGGCCCCGAGACCGTCGAGACACGACTCGGGGTGCAGAGGAGCTGGTCCCGGGAAGGGACCCGTTCCCCTCGTGACCCCCTTCCTGCATGGCAAACATCGGCCCCTCCAGCGGTCGGGGGCCGGCTTCTGAGGCGGCCACGGCCGCGGCGTCGGCAGTCGCTGGGGAGGGGGGGAGGTAAGACAGGACCAGGCGAGGGCAAATTCGCACGAAGGCAGATAGGGAATGTCGGAGAACTGGCCAGTCTGGAGGATGTGTCGGGCACCGCGGCCGTTTCAAAGCACTCCAAGACGCCCCGAGAACATTCTGGAACGCCCTCGGGTGGTTTCTCGTATCGGCCTGCATGAGGATGACGCAGGAAGAGAGGGACCTGAAACACTGTAGCCGCAACTCTTCCGGGCGAAGAGGAATACGAGGAGGAAGATGAGCAAGCAGGTGGAGGCAAGGCTGACAAGACATCCCTCCTGTAACCAGTTGAATATATAAGTTCTCTCTCTCTCTCTCTCTCTCGGTGGGGCCTTCACGGCCAAACAATCGTTATCTCTCCCTTCCGTGGCCACCAGCTACACTTCCCCCTGTCGACCTTTCCTTCTCCTCCTCTTTCTGTTCCCCCCCCCCGCCTCCCTCCCCTTAACCATTAGATATCATCCTCGCTCTCCTCCCCCTCCTGCTCCCCCATTGGCATGCCTTTTCTCATCAGTGTCTCCCCCATCCCCCCACCCGCGTCTCCTCCTCCTCCTCCCCTCCACCTCATTGTCCCCCCCTAGCCTAATTACTTAGCTCCTCACCTCCTCACTCCCACCCACTTCTTTCGACAACTCAATCAACTCACATCCAGACTCACTTACGCTCAGACTCGCCCAAACATAATCACACACATCCAGGCCGCACACGCATAATCTCGGTCACTTCAAGACTTACTCACACTCAGACTCAAATACGCTCAGGCCCACCTCACCCACACTCAGACCCGCTCACTCAGACGCATTCGCTCACTCACACTCAGACTCATTCACACTCAGACTCCCTCACACCCAGATGCTAGTACGCAGACCACACGCAAAGACTCACGAATGACTGTACCATATCACCACCGCGACATAACGGGCCACCCCGAAGGAAAGATCTGCAAAGAGGTGTATCACGGGTCCGTTCGCGCCCCGATCTGGGGGATGTGTCGAGCCGTTCGTTTGGTTTGCCGCCTCGGACTCCGCCCTGTTGAGAGCCCCATCATCACGGCGATGTAGCAGGCAAAGCAATTGGGCACCCCGGGTGGGGCCGCCAGGGAGTGCATCGCAGGCCCGTTCGCGACCAGATTGTGGGGTTGTCCCAGGCGCTTCGCATGTTCTGGAGCATCGGGCTCATATCGTTTGAGAGCCCCATCGGAGTCCCATGCTCATCGCGACACAGCAGGAGAGGCACTCGGACACCACGAGGGGAAACCGCCAGTGGGGCCAGGTTGTGCGCATGTCTGGAGCGGTTCGCCTGTTTGGGCGCTTCAGACTCCTCTCTTGCGAGCGCCCCATGATCACCGAGATATACGAGGCGCTGCATTTGACCACCCCGAGGTGGAGCCAACAAGGGGGTGTGCATCACTGGCCCGCTCGCGCCTAGATTGGGGGGTGTCTCAAAGCGTTTCGCCTGCTTTGGCGCCTGGGACTCCGGCTTTTTAAAGAGCCCCATGGTCGCGATGCAGCAGGCATGGCACGTGGGCACCCAGGTGGGGGAGACGCCATGGCGTGGCATACGGCGGCGGGGAGAAGGCACAATAATGCGGCAACGACACGCAGAGAGGAGCGCTCACGTCCGGTCTCGGCACATGCTCAATCATGATCCGGATGAGAATTGCTCACGCTCGGGTACCCGCGGAACGGATGAAGGCGCAAGCTAATGGCATGCACACATGGGGATCCCCGCGCCCAAGGCGGTGAGGGTGTTGGATTAGGAACCGCTGATAAGGAATCCAGAGTCCCAAAGCAGGTGGAACACCAACTCAGGCTCGGCCATGGCTATCACCGCCGCCCTCATCAGATACGGAATACTCCAAGGTCAGAAGATTCCTGGGCAATCTCCCTGACGAACGCCCACACCGTGGGCACTTCTCCGCCGTGTCGTCTCGCCCCTGCGTTGGCGAGCTTCGCGCCACAGCGCCGGGCGGCGGGCGCGACGAGGCGAGGACGGAACGAGCAAACCAGCACAGTTGCGAGCGGATGATGGGCCAGATGGAGGGCCAAACCCAAGCGCAAGAGGCACTGCTGTCGCATCGTGCTCGGCGACCTTGGGGCCCCACTGGGCCCACACCAAAGGGCTTTCCGGCGAAAGGGCACCATTGCGCGTAGATAGCCGATGTCTGACGGCCCTGGGGCCTGGGGATGGCCCAGGGAGCTCGACCAACAGCGAGGGCCGCCTGTCCGCCTTTTTGCCTTCCCAAACGTCCGGCGCTTCGATTCTGCTCGAGACGCGGGCCCGATCTCTCGACCACTTCCCCGGGACCGGTTCGGCAGCGCGAGCCGTCCTTGGACGGCGCCGAGGCCCAGTGTAAGGGCCCCGAGGGGCCGGAAACTAGGGGAACGGACAATGACATAAATACATAAAAACTCAGTGGTCCGCGCGGATGTCTCGGATCGGGGCTGCACCCCCCTCCCTGGCCCGCGGAGCGCGCCAGGGGTCCAGCGCCGATCCGAGAAATCCGCGCGGACCTCCGAGCTTGCGTGTTTGTGGTATTTTTTTCGTTCCCCTCGAGAAACGACGAACAACAACCTCCGCCTCGACTTCTTCGCGACGCCGGCTGTCTGACTGTGCGCCCTCGCCGCCGCCCCGCCGCCGCCCCTCGCCGTCGCCGCTGTGGCGCCGCCGCCGCGGCATCCGGCGGGGCGGGGCGTGCCCGAGGCCGCCCAGGTCGTCGGCGCCGGCGCGGGGGGCAGCCGCGGCTGCCGGGGGGCCCCGACGCCGCCCAGGCGGTCTCCGATGCTTGCCGCCTCGCGGGAGCTGAGGCTCGCCGCCTCGAGGAGGGGGGGGGCAGGGCGCCAGCGAGGAAGGCGCGTGGCGGCCGCGCGGCAGCGGCGTCGGCGGCGGAGGCAGGGAACGTACAGACACGCAGGAGGGCGGAGGGAGGCCGGAGGGCGAGGGCGCTGGGCGAGAGGCGGCGGAGCCAGGCGGGGGCGCGAGGCTGCACGCACGACGGGGCTCAGGAGGGGAGGGCGCAAGGGGCGGGGCAGGAGGAGGAGGGATCGGCTTCGGTGGCCGAGCTCTACTCGTTTTGCTGCTCTCCGTGCCGCGCGTGCCCCCCCCCCCCTTTTTCACGCATGTGCGCTCAGGGGCGGCGATCGCAACGAGCAAGGCCGTGGCACACCACGAAAAGCAGGGAGGAGCAGGAGGGCGAGGAGAACGTGGAGGAGGAAGACCCACACCTCCCGCTGCTCGAAAGTTTTTGACGCTCTTCGCTCGCGAGGCCCAACGAGGGCCCCCGGAGGCCGAAAACAGCCCCAAACTGCCCGCTCCACTGCTTTTCGGAGCGCCGGCTCTCTGGGGAGGACGCGCTCGTGCAGAGAGGTCCTTTCCGCGTCTCTCTCGCCTTGGCGCTATCCTTTGCCCGCTTGGCAATCTGCGTCTCCGCCGCCCCCCCCCCCCCCCCCCCCGGCACCCAGCGGCGCAGGCCGCCTGCGGGGGGGAGAGGGGCAGCGCCACCCGGCTCGTGGGTCCAGCTGGCCAGCGCGGGCCTCACGTGGTGATCTCTTGCAAGCTGCGCGGTGCAATCCAGGTTCAGGTCGGTGCACTCGGTGGCTGTACCGACTGAGATCTAGGTGGTGCACTCAGTGCGGTGGAGCCTGGGTGGTGCAACCCGCGCGGCGCAATCGATGTGGCGCAAGGCACTGCAAAGCAATGCAGTGCGAAGCAGGGCGAAGACATGCGAAGCAGCGCCACGCAATACACCACACACGTAATCCAATGCGCGTTAACGCAAGGCCATTCAATGCAATGCAATGCAAAGGACAGCAGAGCACTGCAAAGCCACGAAAGGCAACGCAATGCGATGCGAAGCAATGCGAAGGCATGCACATCGACGCAAAGCAACGCACAGCAATGCAACACAATAAAAGCAACGCAACGCAACGCAATGAGCATCAGCTCAATGCAATGCAGAGTAATGCAAAGCAACGCAAATCAAACCAGCGCTGAGCAATTCAAAGCAATGCAAAGCAATGCATCGCAATGAATGCAATGCATGCAATGCGAAGCAATGCAAAGCGATGCTATGCGCTATGCGATGCAAAGCAAAGCAATGCAAACAATTCCAAAGCAATGAAACAATAAATCCAAAGCAATGCAATGCAAAGCAATCCAAAGCAATGCAAAGCAACGCCAAGCGATTGCAACGCAATGCGATGCAACGCAAAGCAACACAAAGCCCTGCGGGCCGAGCTCCTTGGAAGGGACGCAAGAACCCCTGAGTGCAAGCACTGTTCGGGGTCGACATCTCTTCGGGCGAATCTACGTTACTTCCGCCAGCCTGCGCGCGGGCCCTCGGCCGACGACGTCCGCCCGCAGAGCCGTCCTCGTTTTGTTACTCCCGCCGACCTTTCTTCGCCGGTCTTCCGCCGAGGAAGGGATGCCAAGCCCTCGCGTCCTCGATAGGCCATTTCACCACCAGCGCCACGTCGAGGATGCTACCAGTGCGCGCAGCATCGAGCATCGGGGAGGACGCGGAGGTGCACGAGGAGGCGCAGGAAGCGCGAGATCTGTTCTTGATTCTTTCGGGTGTAACGGTCGTTACCTGGGGTGGGGAAGGGGTCGGCCCAGGTAACGGTACTTAACGCTCGGGCGGGATAGGGCACCTCGGGGCGGGGGTGCGGTATGCGCGCGAGCACCACCATGTGTGCGGGCATGTGTAGGGGGGGTCCAAGCCTCCTCCCTTGCGTACGATCGTTACCGTTACCTGGGCCCCACATCCCCGACGTCCAGTTTTTGTCCAAAACTTCGGCCCTCCGAAGTCTCGACCCATTCCCCAGGACCCGGAACCGATTTCTCATCCCGAGTCGCTTCTTGACGGCGCCCCCGAGGCCCGGTGAGGGCCCCTGGAGGCCAAGGCTTGCGAAAAACCCTCCGTCGTGATTTCTCCAAGACTCGAGAGAGGGTCTGGGGGTGAGGCGGCTGGCCCGGGCAGCGACCGCTGCGCGCCAGAGGATCTCTTTATCAGCGTGAGGGGCCGAACGGTCATCCTCTGTCCCTGGGCGCGGGGCTGCGGTGGGGCTCCGCGGTGCGAAAACTATTGCTGTCGCGTCGTTGTTCTCGTCGTCTTCGCCCGCGACTCCCCCGTGACCCTACCGTGACCCACCTCGCGACCAACCCGCGACACACCCCCAGACCCACCCGCGACCAACCCGCCCCCAGATTCTTATCCGCAATTGCGGGGATGCTACGTGTAAGTAAAGGAAACGAAGCCAGGACGAGTGGAAAAACGGGTGAGGAGAAATCGAAAACCTCTCAGAGAAAACGGTGGAAAATGTCTCGGCCGCCGCGGCCATCTCAGAGCGTTCCGGAACGCTCTGGCACGGATCTATCTATTCTCGCCCTAGCCCCGTTGCGTGGTAATGCTCCGCCAAGCAGTACACTTTCTGTGTCTCTGACGCCCTTATGCCTCCTCTTCGTCCTCCTCCTCCTCCTCCTCCTCCTCCTCCTCCTCCTCCTCCTCCTCCTCCTATCCTACTTCAATGCTCAGCACGCTCGCCGCTTCACCCAAACCGTCTCTGTTTCACCACTCCTGCCAGCGCACCTATGTTGTGCACACGGCTTCTGTCTGTTTGTTTGCCTGTCTGTCTGCCTGTCTGTCTGTCTGTCTGTCTGTCTGTCTGCCTGTCTGTCTGTCGGTCTGTCTGTCTGTCTGTCTGTCTGTCTGTCTGCCTGCCTGTCTGTCTGGTCCCGTCCGGTAAAAAGGTCTCCAGGAGCGCGGCCAGGCGGCCCAGAGATGGGCACCGGCACCAGCACAGGGGGCCTGCCCTGCACACCAGCTCGGCCACTCCGAAAGCCCGAGTAGGGCCACCACCACCGAGCTCGGGAGCAGCTTCGCTCGGCGAAGGCACACCGCCGACCTCGGTGTTGGTGTCGACCTCCAGGCCTCCGCCGGAGAGAGCGGCGCCGTGGGGCCTCCGCCGCCGGCGCGGTGGCGGGCCGGCTCGGGGGCGGGCGCTGCGCGGCGTCCTTGCGGGAGGCCAACACCCAAAAACATGACAATCGGGCGGACGCTAGTGCGGGGTGACCCAAAGTGGGGGTGAAGAAAAGGGCCCCAAAGGGCCCCTCTAGGGCCCCTCTCGGAACCAGCAGGGGCCCAGAAGGGTCCCTAGAGTCATGTTGCTCCCATCGCTCTTAAGAGCCACATCCCAGAAATAATTTCGAGCACCCGGAAGGGTGTCGAAAGAGTGTCGAAACAGTGTCGGACGAGTGCCTCCCAGGGCCCGACACGTGAGAACCCTGGAGTTTCGCCACTCTTCTCTGGTGCTCGAAATCCTCTCTGGTGATCCAGGCGGAGGCAGGTCGGAACATCATGACCCTAAAGGGGCCCTTCGGGGCCCTCTTCTTCACCCCCCCGGTGGGGCCAGCGCCCGCCCAACACACTGCGCGCGGGGGACCCGGGGTCGCCCGCGGCAGGCGCGGAGGCCGCGACCCCGAGCTTGCCCAGAGGTGGATCTCCGGAGGCAGCTCCCTCAGAGCCCCCCTCGAATGGTGGACAGAATCACGACGGAGGGTTTTTCGCCACGTTCGGGCTCCGAGGGCCCCTGCCGGGGCCCAGGACCGTCAGAGAACGACTCGGGATGAAGAACCGGTGCCTGGGAAACGGTCGACACCCCTGGGAGTCGACGTTCTGAACAAATCATGGCGTCGGGGGTCTGGGTTCTGGGATGTCGTCGCAAAATACGGATCTGGGAGCATGGAAAAACGGCACCAACACCACCAGGAACCACCAGCGGGAGGCACAACGGGAGGTGCCCCTGGTGGTGTGGTCCCCCCCTCCCGCTCGAGACATCCCCTTTCCCCAGCTCGGGGAGGCCTCGTGGACCTCCTTGTTGGAGGTGGCTCCCCTGGCAGTGGTGGTGTCTCTTCTCCTTTCCCCAAACGGATCACGGCTGCGGTGGGGGCAGTGGACATGGAACCCTTCGAGACGGAATCCTGGGGCTGGAAGCCGGTGGCACACCACTGACGAGAACGGCGCCCATGCACCGTACCATGCCTGGGCTCCTTTCAGGCCCCGCTCCAACGCGGCACGGTGCACAATTAGCTCGTCTCTGGAGGCCGAAAAAATGTGATTCGTGCCATTCCTGGGTCGAAAACTCGAGGGGTCATTGCGGCCGCAGCTTTTGCGGACCTGCGTCCGCTGGGTCTGGCAATTACCGTGCCATTGTCACGACAAGGTGCTTTACTCGAGGGGTTCTGTCCACCCCCAGAACCACAACTCTGGGGCGGAAGACGAGCGGGGATCGTGAACGCCTTGCGTCGCAATTTTGTTTCACGGGGGTCACCCGGCCGCGTGTGAGCCCAGCCCCCGCCCAGGCTGGCCGCGTCACGTGTATCCTTATGAGCTTCCCAAATGAGACTCGAGCAGATGGGGTCGTCGCCGATGCACCACCGATGCATCGGCGGCGACGTCGGCGATGCATCGGCAACGTCGGCGATGCATCGGCGACGTCGACGTGAAGAACATCAGGCTTCACACCTGGCCCCAGCACCGAGGCAGCGCCGACGCGGAGTGAGCCTACGACCCCACCTGCTCGGACCCCGCCTGGGAGGCCCAAGCTCTTGCCTTCTCCCCCGTGGCCTCCCTGCGCCGCGCACTTCGCAGCGCAGGGCGCCCCCCTCGGACAGGGGAGGCGCTCGGCTATAGGCGAGGCTCGGCGGGGCTGACTTCGGCCAGCTGAGCTCGGCGCGGCCGACCTCGGCCGGGGCCGGACTCAGCCCGGCCAGGCATCCTGGCGCCCCGACAAAATCAACACGGAGGTGCTTCATAGCTTTCGGCCTCTCTCGGGGCCCTCACTTGGCCTCGGGGCCAGGAAAAAACGAACCGGGAGGAAAAACCGGGCCCAGGGAAGTGCTCGAGAGGTCGGGGGACCGCGCCTCGGAACCATCGGGCCGCTGGCTGCCTGGGAGGTCCGCCGGGCCTGCACACCAGCCTATGGCCGAGCTCGGGCTCCGCTGACCGAGCTCGGCCTGGCCGACCTGATCCCGCGGCCCGGCTCGGCCGCTGCCCTCGGCCTCGCGGTGCCGCGCTCCCCCCCCGCCCCCCTTCTGGAGCCGAGCAGAAAACAGCAGCTGCGTTGGGTGGCTCTTGGCTGGTGCCGGCAGGGCGCGTGGGTGCGCCGGTGCGCCGCCGGCGCGCTGCCAGTGCGCTGGCGCGCGCTGCTGGTTTCCAGGCGCAGGCCCCGCAGCGGCGGGTCGCGCCGGGGAGCAGCGGCCTCGTCGGCGCCCCTGCGTGGCACCGCGGGGCCCGCCTCCGAGGCCCTGGCACCGCACGTGCTGTTCGGGCCCGGGCGCTCTCCCGCAGAGTCGGCGCACCTCTCGCTCGGGCCGGGCGTTGGCTCGCACAGCCTCGGGCCACGCGGGGGCCCCCACGCATCGACGCGGCCCGACGAGTGCCGCAGACCCCAGACCCCCGGCGTCATGACTTTTTCACAGCGTCGACCCACAGCGGTCTCGACCCATGCCCCAGGACCAGTTTCTCATCCCGAGTCCTTTTTCGACGGTCCCGAGGTCGGCAAGGGCCCACAGAGGCCGAAAATAATGAAAAACCTTCCGTCGTGAATTGTCCACTACTCGAAGGGATCTGGGGAGAGCGGGGATCCAGGGCTCCTGTCGTGATGTGCCACGCTGCTGCAGTTGCGGTCGCGTCGTCGGCGCTCATGGTGGGAAGTGGCGCGGCCAGGCCCGCTCGCCGATAGCTCGCGCAGAGGAGGCCGCGCGCTGGATCCCCACTGGCCCGCCCCTAGGGCCTGGAGCCCGTCCCAGAGCTGGCGCACCTCGCTTCGGATGGGGCAACCTTTGACTTCCAGCGGCTTCAACTGGCCTTCCGCCAGCCTCTGCCGGCAGAGCTGCCCTCGCGCTGCTTCCGCCGGCCTCCCTCCGAGGAAGCAGAAGAGTCGCCTTCCCGATCCCTCGAACGCGGGGCCCTTCCGGAGGGCTGGCGTCCCTGTCCACAGCAGGGCCCTTCGCGATTCCCAGAGGGCGGGGCGAAACGGCGAACAACAAGGAGGAGCGCCCGCAGGTGACGGGTCATATGCCTCACTAGCCTCGCGGCCAGCGGGGCCGTTTAGAAATTGTGGAAGTCTTTCTTGCAGTTGTGGGAGGACGCACAGCGTCAACCAAGAGGTCTCCTCCGATCCTGCCTTTGCTGCTGCCTTTGCTGCTGCTGCTGCTGCTGAAGGGTCTCTCTTCCCTCTGGTCTGAAAATATACAGCGAGTCTCACCACCTTCGCGATCGAAAGGCTCGCTTCGGCCCTTGACCTCCCGCCGAGGGCAAGTGGCAAACCTCTCGATCCCTCGAGGGCGAGGTAGAGAGGCGAACGGTAGGGATACTGATAATGATCATGATGATGCTGATGATGATGCTGATGATGATGATGATGATGATGATGATGATGACAATGACGGTGATGTTGATGCTGATGCTGATGCTGCTGATGATGATGATGATGATGATGATGATGATGATGATGATGATGATGATGATGATGCTGGTGATGCTTATGCTGCTGATGATGATGCTGATGATGATGATGCTGATGAAGATGACGATGAGAGGGATGAGGAGGAGGAGGATGAGGAGGAGGAGGAGGAGGACAAGAAGGATGCCAGGGAGGATCGACGCTCCGCCGATCGACTATCGACCGACAGGCCGACCGACCGAGGATCAGTGGGAGGGGGAGTAGAGCCGCCTCAGAGGCGCCACGTCCGCCATGGCCGCGGGCGGGCGGCGAGAGAGAAACGATGAGGAAAGAGGAAGGAGGAGGCGCAGGATGAGGAGGAGGAGGAGGAGGAGGAGCAGGAGTAGGAGCAGGAAGAGCAGGAGGAGGAGGAAGAGGAGAAGGAGGAGAAGCAGGAGGAGGAGAAGGAGGAGGAGGAGAAGGAGGAGGAGGAGGAGGAGGACGAGGAGAAGGAAGAGGAGCAGGAGGAGGAGGAGCAGCAGCAGCAGGTATATCGGCGAACGGTAGGGATTTTGATGATGCTGATGATGATGATGATGATGATAATGATGATGATGATGATGATGATGATGATGATGATGATGATGATGATGATGATGATGATGATGACGACGACGACGACGACGATGACGATGACGATGACGATGATGCTGATGATGCTGATGATGATGCTGCTGATGATGATGAGACTGATGCTGATGCTAATGCTGATGATGCTTATGCTACTGATGATGATGCTGATGATGATGCTGATGGTAATGACGGTGAGAGGGAGGGGGAGGAGAAGGAGGAGGAGGAGGAGAAGGAGGAACAGGAGGAGAAGGACGAGCAGGAAGAGGAGCAGGAGGAGGCGGAGGAGTTTGAGGAGGAGGAGGTGGAGGAGGAGGCGAAAGAAGAGGAGGAGTAGGAGGAGGCGGAGGAGGAGGAGGAGGAGGACGGGGAGCAGGAGGCGGAGCAGGAGGAGAAGGAGGAGGAGGAGAAGGAGGACCAGGAGGAGGAGGAGGATGAGGTGGAGCAGGAGAAGCAGGATGATGATGATGATGATGATGATGATGATGATGATGATGAAGGGGAGGAGGAGGAGGAGGAGGAGGAGGAGGAGGACAAGGAGGAGGCCGAGCAGGACGAAAAGAAGCAGGAGGAGGTGGAGGAGAAGGAGGAGGTGGAGGAGGCGAAAGAGAGGAGGAGGAGGCGAAAGAGGAGGAGGAGGAGGAGGTGGATGAGGATGAGGAGGAAGAGGATCAGGAGGAGGAAGAGGAGGTGGAGCAGGAGGAGCAGGATGAGGAGGAGGAGGAGGAGGAGAAGCAGGAGGAAGAATCTCGGGATGCTCACGTCGCGGATCAACGTGACTGCTGCGTCCTGACGATCTGGAACCGTGCGAGAATGCCGTTCTGGGACTTCAACACCGCGAATCAACAAACTGTTT